TGTTCTTCCAAGGGTGTTTTAGCTGTGGATAGTCTGATAAAAACAAAGATTTCTCGGAATTATTGGCCGTTGTGTGCGTTGGTACTAGGTTTTCTTTTTCTAATTTCCCGCGATTTGGTTTCGCCCGGCGGTGGCGGACAACTAGGGCGCTGCGCGTGACCCGAGGTGTGACGTCATAACAGCTTTCGCTGTAAAAAATTGCAGTATAACTAAAGACACCACGAAGAAGAAACACCTAAACAGGTGGAGCGCAATTTTTTGTCGGTACATTTATTTCGTTCACAGCATTGCTGATTGTGGGTGTGCCGTGACTTTTTCCAATTTGGGCTTTGCAGTTTCAATGCGCGCCGGCGCACGTGGTAGTTTTTAAAAATATGTTAATTTGCCTGTTCTTTTCTTTGTCCTGGTCTGTTACTGTACTTCCAAAATAACCTTTGCTCTATCTTTCAGTCCGATTACTAACACAGGTGCGCTGCGGAGGTAACCAAAGTTATACTGGTGGCCGTCAATTGTGCGGAGATTGCGATACGCTTATGCAACGTTTACCTTCCGCAGCGTTAGTTTTCTCAATTATGTTGGAATAAGCTTTGTGCTACCACGCCGTGGACATATACGCTAAGAGTAATGCGTCAGAGCCTGGGTCAATTCTTCCTCCTAATTTGTGGCAGATTCGTGTTGATTCTTAATTCTGAGTTTTAATTGTGAATGTCTCTTCTAACTACAGTTGTACCCGACGCAGAGGAACCAGCGCCTAATTTTCCCCTCCCTTCGTTCACATCAAGGCTGCTGTTTTGGTACACTGGATGGCTTATGATATATAGTACACTAGAGACATTTGGTCAGCTGCCAGCTCGTAAAAATATCGCGTGCTTCAATATGGCGGTAGGCAGAAGTTTGCCACACTTGCAGCCACAGCTACTAGTGGCACTATAGCGTTCCCAGGTTTAATTGCGCGCGCGCGCGCACACTCACGCCCACATACACATACACGCACATACACATACGCACACGCACATATACACACACACACCTCGCCGTGGTGGTCTAGTGGCTAAGGCACTCGGCTGCTGACCCGCATGTCGCGGGATCGAATCCCGGCTGCGGCGGCTGCATTTCCGATGGATATATATATATATATATATATATATATATATATATATATATATATATTAACTCACAAGGGATTGGGGGTAAGGAGGGATTAAAAGGAGAGGATTAAAATATATATATTGAGAGAGGAAGCAGAGAGCGAGGCGCAGGGACAGCGAGCGACGGAAGTAAAGAGGAGATAGGAAAGATGGAAATGGTCACAGGAGTCCGAGGACGGGGCACCACTCGGCGAGAGCTCTTGTCAGCGTCAGGAGGTGGCGTAGGGCGAGTCCAGTCGGCCAGAGCTGCACTGTCGTCGGAGATCGCGAGGGCACAACCGGTCAGCTCGAAATCCAGTGAACGAGTCCCAAATCCATTAGGGCGCGAGTTCTTTAAGATGTGTATTTTACACCACACGTTCGTCATCCTTACAGATTCTCGCTAACGCGCTTCCATTCTCCATTACCACTAAAGTTGGACAGACTATCTGCAGAATTTTCCTTATTAATACTCCAGAATATAATTCACTATTGTGTAAAAACATTAAAACCGGATGACATACTATGTCCATGCAATCCGTGGGCTCATCACCTTGGTAAAAAATACATATATAGTTTCACTAAACTCCTTCTATCACAAGAAGCGGTTATTTTCAAAACAAAAGCCATTCACGTATACACTGACGGCTCATCACGTCATACGCAGCGGGAGCGGCACACATTGCTTTGACCAAAGATAGCCAACTCACCATGTGTGCCCTGAATGCAACAGAGCATTTAGCACTCTTATTGGGCTAAGCCAGCACAGAAGGCGGGTACATATGGAAGAGTACAACGCTGATATTGATGTTCAGCGTGTAAAACCAAGATGGCACAGCGAGGAGGAATATCTGATGGCTGTGTACGAAGTACAGCTGCGGCAAGAAAAGGTATATAACCTCAACCAACGACTGCACCAAAAATTTCCATTGCGATCGTTTGTCGCAATCAAGTCTCACCGCAGAGATGCCAACTACCGAAAACTTGTGGAGGATCTTCTCAGGAACCAAAATCGGGACCCAGCAGAAGGAGGCAATGGGAATCAAGACGAGCAGTCTGGCAACGTGGATGTGCAAGATCCCAATCCTGCGAACAAGAGGGCGGAGACATGTGAAGAAATAAGGAAGCTTACGTTCAAACCTCCACCGAAGTCCTACCAGGCGTGTCGTCTTTGGGAAACAGCGAAACGCTTCTTAACCGGTGAGAACGTTGCTGTGGAACTCAATGTGTATCTACGAGAATGCTTCTCTTCTGACGAAGTCCGCCAGAGTACTCGTACTCCGAATAACTCTGGCGAAGAAAGTAGAAGGAAGAAAAAGAAGAAAGAATATGCAAGGGTTCAGAACTGGTATAAGAAGGACCGATCACGCTGTATACGCCAGATACTAGATGACACTGGTGATGACACTGCAATGGAGGCACCCGTCCAGAGAACGAATTTGTCCATGGAACTCAGACCTCACGGTTTCAAGCCTTTTGATCCACGCAGTGTTGTCACTGCCGCAGATATCAAGTATGCTTTACCAGCTCGTAATAGTGCTTCCGGTCCCGATGGTTTTTCGGCAAAGCGGCTCCATACAGTTCCAACGGTGGTCCTGAGGGTACTCATAAATCTAATCATGCTGCAACGCCGTTTGCCCTTGGTTCTATGCAATGCCAGAACCATTTTTATCCCTAAAGTACCCGGAGCATCGACAACAAACCTACATAGGCCTATCAAGGTCTCTCACGTCCTCACCCGAGTGTTGCATAAAATTTATACGAGGCGCCTGATGACCGAGGTCCAGCTGGATCTTCCTCAAAGAGCCTTTATTCCAGCAGATGGTTGTGCGGAAAATGTTCTGCTTCTACAAACAATTGTGGATGAGGCAAGGCACAGCCTGGTGCCACTCGCAATGGCGTCTGTTGACGTCGCCAAAGCCTTCGACAAGGTGACGCACCAAGCCATTGTCCATGGCCTTAGATGTAAAGGTGTGGCAGAGGAGTTTTGTGACTATAGCGGCGACTATTATTCGAGGGCAACTACAATTATTGGAATGAATGGGAAGACGCTTTTGGTGCATCCTACAAGAGGGGTGAGACAGGGTGACCCATTGTCACCGTTGCTCTTCAACCTGGTTTTAGACAAGTTTCTTCAAAACCAGAACCAAGCGATTTCCTTTCGCAGCGGAGGAGTTTCTTCGTCGGCCATGGCCTTCGCCGACGACATAATTCTAACAGCAGCAACCCCAGGTCGACTGAAAGCCCAATTATAAAATCTCCATCGATACCTGGAAGAGCGGGGGCTTGATGTTAACGCAAGCAAATGTCGATCGTTAACCATCATCCCCAGCGGCAAATATAAAAAGGCGAAAATAGTCACCGATGATAGTTACACCATCGGGGGACATCCCATAGAAGCTACCTCGTGTACAACTACCTGGAAATACCTAGGCATTCAATTCCGAGGCACTGAAGCATCGAATGACTCGGTGCGCAAAGATTTGGCTACTCTGCTCAATCGCCTTGCGAAAGCTCCGCTGAAGCCGCAGCAAAGGCTAGTGGCTCTTAGATTCTATCTGATACCGAGACTAGTACACAGGCTTGTTCTGGGTCCTGTTTCGGCAAAGATGTTGCTCAAGCTGGATAGGTCGATTCGAGCCGCGGTAAGGCACTGGCTTAACCTTCCGCATGATGTTACATTAGGCTTTCTATATGCCCCGGTCCCTGTGGGAGGTCTTGGCATTCTTTGTTTGCGCACCACAATTCCCGGAATGCGCATAAAGCGACTCAACGGCCTGCTACATTCATCGCACTATCCCTGTGCAGCAGCTGCAACAACAGAAACAATGATTAAGGCGTCACGGCAGACAGAGAGCCTTGCCCATTTCCGTGGCGAGGTGTTGCAAAGCTCGAAGGCATCGGCAAAATATTGGACGAAACAGCTACATCGGAGTTTTGACGGGATGCCCCTCCGGCATTGTACAAACGCCGTCGGCTCAACGGCATGGCTGGGGGAAGGTACGACATTTCTATCGGGAAGAGAATTTATCAAGCTCGTCAAGTTTCACATCTCGGCAATGCCATCCTTAACAAGACTGAAGCGAGGCCAGAACGTTCCCGTAACGTGCCGGGCAGGGTGTGATGCCAGAGAATCCTTGGGTCACATCTTGCAGCAGTGTCATAGAACGCACCACCAAAGGATAGAGAGGCACGACGGGATAGTTCGTTACCTGGCCTCCCGACTCAAGGAAAAGGGATGGAGCGTGCTTCAGGAACCCCACTACAGGACATCACAGGGAACAAAGATACCTGATTTGGTCATCCACAGGGACCAACAAAGTGTGGTGCTGGATGTTCAAGTGGTGGGAACTCGGGTCGCCCTCTCGGATGCATACGAGATGAAACGAAATAAATACCTCTTCCCGGAGCTTACCAAGCAAGTTAACCCCCACTCTTCTCCGATTGTGGCTGCTGTGACGATGTCTTACCGCGGCACATGGGCCAGAGAGTCTGTTAACATTCTGACAGATGTTGGTCTTGGCCGCAACGACTTGAAAATGCTGTCCATAAGATGTATGCAGGGTGGCCTGAGGGCCTTCAGCGTACACCAAAAATCGACGGTGGTACGACCCCATCGACAGTAGAGTTACAAACGGTCTGGTCTTTATCGCTAGCTGCGATACCCGTCGGTCGGTAAATAACGATCGGCGGATATGGGTTCCTCTGCCCTTTCGGAGTGGTACTCTAACAATTATCTGAGGGCTGCCTACTCTCTGAGTGGGTGCCCAATGATGATGTTAAAAAAATAGCTAAATGCCTCGTTATCTAATTAGTGACGCGCATAAATGGATTAACGAGATTCCCACTGTCCCTATCTACTATCTAGCGCAACCACAGCCAAGGGAACGGGCTTGGCAAAATCAGCGGGGAAAGAAGACCCTGTTGAGCTTGACTCTAGTCTGACTCTGTGAAGAGACATGAGAGGTGTAGCATAAGTGGGAGGTCACGGGATACGGCCTCGTTTCGGCGGGGTCCTCGTGACCGCAAGTGAAATACCACTACTCTCATCGTTTCTTTACTTACTTGGTGGAGCGGGAAGCGGACCAATGTGTTGTCCACGCTTCTAGCGCCAAGCGATGGGCCCTCGGTTTCTCTTCAGGGTGCCGGTTGGGCCTGCGCGGCCTGTTCCGAGGACAGTGTCAGGCGGGGAGTTTGACTGGGGCGGTACATCTGTCAAACGGTACCGCAGGTGTCCTAAGGCGAGCTCAGCGAGGACAGAAACCTCGCGTAGAGCAAAAGGGCAAATGCTTGCTTGATCTTGAATTTCAGTACGATTCGAGACCGCGAAAGTGGGGCCCCTCGATCCTTTTGGATTTAAGAGTTTTAAGCAAGAGGTGTCAGAAAAGTTACCACAGGGATAACTGGCTTGTGGTGGCCAAGCGTTCATAGCAACGTCGCTTTTTACACTTTCACAGGATAGATGGATGGATGGAATTATATGGCTGTACCCTTTAGATCGGGCGGCGAATAACGCCACTTAGCCATAACACTTAGTCAACACAAAAACTAGATTTATCAATTTTTTTCCCCTTAAAACAAGCCTCGCTCGTTTTAGGATAGATGAATGGATTGATGTGGCTGTACCCTCTAGATCGGGCGGCGGCTATCGCCACCTAGCCGTAATACTTAGTGAACCGAAAACTAGATTTATTATTTTTCTTTTAAATAGTGAGGTTGAGGATTCGTACTTTGCAGTGAAGGGTTTAATTTTCACTCGTGCTTTGACTTTAGCCACCAATCAGATAACCTCCTTCTAGTTAATTCTACCCACTTAAATTCTATTTTGCCCTCCCTGTTCCTAAGCCCCAGTGCTTTGAAAAACTCTGCGCCATCATGCTGAACTATAGGGTGAAGCCTTTTACAAAACATTATCAAGGGTTCGGCACTTTCTTCTTGCTCTCCACACGCACTGCATTCCACGTCTACCCCTTCGTATTTGGCCCGATATGTCTTGGTTCGCATTACTCCCGTCCTGGCCTCAAACAGTAGAGAACTACCCCGAGTATTATCATAGATCCTTTCCTTGGCGGTTTCCTGCTTAAAAGTCCGATAGATCTCTAGTGCGGACTTCATAATAATGCCAATTCTCCACATATCGGTCTCAGCTTTCTTCACCTTCTTCTTAACCAATAATTCTTTTGGGTTAGGCCCCACTGTTTTCTAAGTATTTACCAGTAAATTTTCTGGTTCGCTTCATCCATTTTGTATCGACGTTCTTCATGTACAAGTAGCGCGTGTGGGAGAGTGGTGCCCTCTGCTGGCCGTGGAGAAAGACGGGCACAATCCAGAATCAGGTGCTCAGCCGTGTCGTTCGTTTCGGCGCAGCAGCGACAGATAGCAGCTTGGACCTGTGGGTCCTGATCGAAGTGATGACGGCATGTGAGCGTACGCAACGCTCCTGCACGTGCTTCAAACAGCAAAGCACTGCCTATAGACTGTTGGCATAGTTTTTCCCTACCTAGTTCGGCCTTGTGCTTGCCATACATCCGCAGGGTAGATTTACGCAGCTCTCCTGATCGCCATTGGGCGCTTTCTATCTCTCGGACTTGAGTGCGCACCGAACGTGGTGTGAGACCCTCGGGTAAGCCACTGTCCGTTTCGCCGAAGAAGCCGAATTTTCCGCGCAGCCGGTGAACTCTATTCGACCACTAGGTCCGAATACCTTTGAGGTAGAGGTACCGAAAATGCACCTGGCCCACCGCGAGTCGCTCAGATGCCAGAGGCAGGCCTCAAACGCTATTTTGCTGCACGCCTCCCTGGCTTCGAACGATGACCACCCGATGTCTCCCTGGACTGCTTCCGTGGCCACTCTTCTATGACAGTCGAGGGCCATACGGCCCACCTCTTTCTGTCCACGCTCAAGCCACTCGCGGGTGCTCATCGATAGGCACAGGACAGCGTTCGCGAAAGTCGGGCAAGTTGCATGTACCGCCTTTCATAGCTCGCGTACAATGACATACCGATTGAAACCCCCACAGGCTGCACTTCCGTAGGGTGCCGATCGCTCGTTGTGACGACTGCCTCATACTGGCCTCACGGACGCCGTAACACTCTCGATCACAAAGTGTCACCCCGAGGTATCGGTACTCTGTGCTGCGAGGGATCGGCTGGCCATTCGTTAGCACCAGCTCGCGTTCGTCCGCTTGCCCGGAAAAACGTAGCACCGCCGATTTTTTCGCATTGAACGTGAGTTTCAGCGACGCCAGGTGGTGGGCGGGTATGTCTTTGAGGTTCTGCAGCTGATCGGTGTTTTCCGCTAAGAGCACCAGGTCATCCGCGAAGACCAGTTCCGCAGTGTCCAGACCTGCGGCGACCTGGCATATTGGAACCGTAGCGCAAAGCCAAGGCGCGAACCAGTGAGGTCCCGCTCTAGCCCCGCAGTGTAAAGCATGAACCGTAGCGGGGAGAACGGACACCCTTGTTTCAGACCTCGGCGAACCGACACCGGCTCCGTACTGGTCTGACCAAAAGTCGCAATCACCATGTTGCTGTAGAGACGCTGGAGGAGGTCGATCCCAAGACTGTGTTCGCCAGCCTCGTCGACGTGTAGCCGAGATGTATACACGGATAGTTTACGTGACATCAGGACGTAGTCGATGGTAAACTTGCTGTTCATCACACACCATGTAAAAACACCATCACAGTCACTGCGCAAGTTGGCCACCTCGAGAAATAAATCTTCGGCCAATTATAGCATGAGAGACCCGTTTGCGTCCTGGTGTCCATCGAGAAGCTGTATGTGGCAATTAAAGTCCCACATCAGCACCTTTCTCCCCGTTCCCCTGCGTGCCACATCGTCCTTGATCTACTGTAATATTTGACAGTTGGCGTCATCCAGTCTTTGAGTCACACCTATGTAGACAACCCGACAAGAAAGGGGATGTTCGGTATTTCACCGGCTATCCACATGTGTTCTTGGTAGTTCCCTGGTAGCCGTGTCTATGTTGTACCGCTTCGCCATAGCACACCGACACTTCCACCTTTTCAATCTCCGACGGATCGGTTATTGCCAGCCCATTGCCAGTCGAGTTGTGTAGGCGGCTCTTCCAGGTCCGGAGATGGGTTTCTGCAACTGCAAACAGGCTAATGTCCTCGGCTGTTATAGTCCTGTACAGCTCTTCCCATTTTTGGGGCTTGCCCCATGGAGGTTGAGGAACCCCGCGTTGGTTAAAGGTATCCGGGAGCGGCGGCGAGGGTGGTGTCTGCGCCTCAATGGGGCATTTGCGTGGCAAACATCAGGTGGTGCTTGACCAGCTCCCCGACTGAGTGGTACATGGTGGGTGAGACAGGTTGGGTGCCCCATGGGTGTACTACAGGAGGTTGTATCCAGTGTGACGGGGCTGTCATCGCTTGTTTTGTAGTGGTGATGGTGGTGGTGTCTCGACTTGGGTTGGTGATGGTGTTAGAGCTTGTCGCTGGGCTGCTGGTGTGTCTGACTGGCTGTTTTGTTCCTTTGGGGAGGCCCGCTGGGGCCTGCGCTGCAGAGGCTTCTTTACCTTGGGGCGTGGTTTGGTGCGATGAGGTTGATGGCCTAAAAAAAAAACCTGGGCCTCGGTGCTGATCTTATCGGCCACAAATTTCACTCCTTCGGGGCTGTACTATGTTCCATTTTTATTAATCATTTGAGTGCTCCACCCTTTGCGTAGGTCGAGAAATTTGTGGTGAGAGTGTTTGTACCATTTCTGCAGCTGAATATTGACTAGGCGGATTGCCGCGAGAACCTCCGCATCTCTTGTGGGGACTTCTGGGATTGAGCACACAGCCAGAGAGGCTGCACTGTCTTTCCATTTGCTGTTGAGCATCTGAACAATTTGTGTGTTTTTTTTTTCAAAATGTCTACTAGTCCAACATGTAGTATGTACTTGCAGCGGCGCGGAGTCATGACCTTTTGCTCGTACACGTCAACATATTGAAGCACCTTTTCAATTGTGGACTTTCTTTCAAACAACAAACCCAAGGCATTTGTAACGTCAACCGACTCTTGGACGGATTGCGTGAGCGCCTCCACGTTTCCATCTCCCGCATTGATTACTTCTCTTGGGGTGCTGGGTTCCGGTATTACCCATCTATTGCCCGTATAAGTAGGGTGCTGCTGGTCATATGGGTGGCGTTTTTGCTTGTTGATGTCTCGCGGTGTCGTGGAGCTGGCTAGTCCAAGGCCCATATTGTGCTGCTGCGACGTGTCCACGATAGTCATTGGTGTCTTTTCGCTCCTGGGGGCATGGTTCGGGGAAGGGGGTCGCCGCACTTCGTGTTCCAGTTGTGGGTCACTGATTTCTCTTCTGTGGTCAGCGGAGTTAGGACTACCTGTTCTCCACGTGTGTCTTCTACATTTGAGGGACTGCACTCATTTTTGGCCTCCATGGTATGGACCCCGCTTACAGTAGCAGAATCAGGGAAGTCCTCGGCGGGCACCGTTTCCGTTTATAGCTCATCCGGAGCTTGTACCAGCTGATAAGTATGCGGAGAACCTTCCGCATCCGAAGGGGAGTGGAGCGGCTGTGATAGATGCTGTTGGAGGTGGTGTAACTGTTTGGAGATAGCCTGGAGAGTTTTCTGAAGTGTTTCTATTCTGGCCCGTTGTTTCACACGCGTGCCTGTGGTGAGAGGTGAGCTGCTCCTCTAAGTCCTCTATCGTATGGCATAACGTACACTTGAAATCCACCTCCTTGGCCTCAGCGAGATCCAGAAAGGGCGTTTCATCCCTATATACCCATCGGCCACAGCTGTCGCACTTCACACAAGGAGTTTCGTCCTTGGTGTTTGTTTTGCTACCTTTTCGCCATTTTGCCATCGCAGCGGTGCCCGGGGTGGTCATCTGCCTGACCCATGTGCGCTGTAAGAGGTCCCGCTCGCCGACCGCCTGTGGTTCCACTTACGAGCTCATTTGTAAGGATTAACGCGGAAGCATTCGAAGACGTGTCAATGTGACAATACGCACCAAATCGCTGATGGCACCCGAGCATTGCGACAGCAGCCACGCGCTCACGTGTCGCCAGCCTGTCCGCTTCCGAGAGCTACCGGAACTAAGCCGGACCGGGCGAAAGATTGTCGGCGGCCTCCGCGTTTTTTGCGTGAATGCTCTCGATTATAGCCGCAGTTGTGCCAACAAAGGTGGGGGAAAACCCCTGCGACTGATAACAATAGCATCACTGCTCCATTTTCCCTAAGTACACGAACCATAACATCAGCAATGCTTGAGCGAGTAATTATATCTGGCTCATTTTCCTTTGAAAAGCAAGTCACTATTTCAACTGGTGCCTTATTTAAGTTCGCAGTGGCAAACAGGCTGCTGTTGCGACCGGGGTTTGCGGCACTGGAGATCCGGGATGAAGATGTCGAGGCAGGAGGAAGTGTAACTTTACGGGGAGGGTTCATTTACAGTATTTAAATGGCAAGAGCTCTCTTGCCCGAAGCTCTACATTGAAAAGCTTGACATCGAAAGGCTTTCAATTGAACAAGCACTCCAAGGAGCTGGCGAGGGCTGATTACAGTCTCATCTCCACTGATCCCTAGATCGGGAAGTAGGTCCATACTGCATTGTCCCACAAAGAGTCCCACAGCCCACTCAAGGAGTGTGGCAGCTTCGGCTAGTTAATATGGCGGGACGATAGTTATAGCGCGAGAAAAAAACGATGACACGTGTCCTTCGTGCCCTTTTTGTCTGTGTCGTCGTTTTGTTGTCGCGCTGTAACTATCCCCGCACAAGGGTCATTATGACGGCCCGCCCAAACATTTAAACATACACAAACCAAACACGTGTATGGTCCCGGCGATGCTGCCTCCTCCGGCGAATCTTCCTCCCAGCGAGCGGGGTGTAACGAGTCTGTCATCTCGCCGCTCTGGTCGACCACCCATGCTTTGTCGATCGGCGGTCGCGGGCTAGACGCCTCCGAGGGCAAATGCTTGCACATCTGGTGCTGATTTTAGCTTCTTCGGCCCATCACACAGCGTGGTGGTCCGACGTCCGTCTTCGGTGGAAACTCGGCATTGTGGCTTTTCCTGGGGCACGAAGACGCCGCATGTCGCATATCCGCCACGACCACAAGAACAGCAGTGTTCCGTCGAGTAATTTCAACAACGCACCCGCCTAGTACATGAAAACAGCAGGGCGTATTCGCGCTGCTCTTCATCTCCATAAAGTGTGGCGGCAGCCTTTCTTCCGTTCTGGCGGCCGCGGCAAAAGGGTGGCTCGCCAAACGCAATAGCTCGTCCACCAGCGGGAAAATTAACCCGAGAATGACCAGCTGTGCAGGTTGCCCGAAGCGTCGTTGTTTGGTGGCATCCTCCAGGCCACTGCCGATGACGCAATACGGCATTCTTCAGTCATACATGGGATTCTCCTCCCTGGGATTACTGATGTCAAAAGAACCCTTCTTAAACAGTAAAACTAAAGCACAAAGCAGCAATCGAAGCATTTTTCTGAGCTCTCTCTGGAACTCCCAATTCCAACATGAGAATGAGCTTCTCTCAAGGGACGTGCCCGTCGTCGGACTGCATTTGGTCTCCGCTGTAGGATTTGCCAGGTTTCGATTTCTCCAGATCCAGAGTTTAAATTGGCGGGTTTGTGTTTTATCAAAGCGGAGCCAAAGCAGAGTGGTCGCCATGGGCCTTATGAGATTGACGAAAGATAACCTGCTGACCCCGCTGCGGTGGTCTAGTGGCTAAGATACTGCTGACCCGCAGGTCACGGGATCAAATCTTGGCTGTGGCGACTGCATTTCCGATAGAGGTGGAAATGCTGTATGCCCGTGTGCTCAGATTTCGGTGCACGTTAGAGAACCCTAGGTGGTGAAAATTTCTGGACCCCTCCATTACGGCGTCTATCATAATCATATGGTGGTTTTGGGACGTTCGGCCCCTGCTAGTGGAAAGTAACTT